ATTGCTGCCATCTGGGCCTAACTGGAGCTTCATCCAGGCACCGCCAACTGGCACAGCAAAGGATAATATGTCACTGTTACAGTAAATTGAAGGAGAGCTGCAGAGTCATATTAAAATTTTGAAAACAGCTATACCCTGTATTTTTTTCTGATGATGTAACATAATATTTTAGAATTGCACTTGTTAGGGTGGTTGCACATTGGAGCAGATCTTCTAGCTTAATTCTGATATTCTTTTTTACTAGCCTATACAACTTTAGTTTCTACATTTGTGGATCAGAGTTTATTTTGTCTGATGTTTTACGCTTTTGGTCTTTAATGCTGTGAAACTGGAAAGATTTTACTGATATTTTTTCCCCCTATATTTGCCCAGATCCGTAACCACAGCAACCATAAGAAGTTGTTTTTTTATACCAAGGAGCAGCTAATTAACATCTGAAGCTGAAAAAATGCATCAACTACTTTTATTGATACCAGCTGAGCTGAAAAGGTGGCGGATGGGAGCAAGGAAACGAGAGAGGAACAAGAAATTGAAGCCAATTCTTCACTCAATCGTTATCAATGTGAGATCTTTAGGAAATATGTTACTCCAAGCCATAGCAAGGACCTAGTCAAAATATCGGCAATGCAGCATTATGGCTTCAGGATAATATCTCGGACTCCAGCGTCTCTCTGCAAGGCTCCTGACTTGTTCCAGTGCAAAAAAAAAAGACTCAGCCAACCAACATCAGTGACTATAGACCTGTTACCCTAACATCCTGCATGAAGGTCCTAAACAGAGGTTTGTTAACCTCAGCAACAAGAAGCAGCTAGCAGGACCCCCTAAAGTTTGCTTATCGCTATGGAGTTGAAGATGCCCTCATACAACTGCTTCAACAAATCCACTGTCATTTAGACAAGGCAGAAAGCACTGTGAGGATCAGTTTCTGTGATTTATCCAGTGCCTTTAACACAATTCAGCTTGACTTAGTTTGTTTGCATAATAAATTAATTGGAGAAAAAGAAATAATATTTTGCAGTATATTTAATTTTTATTGTAACATATTGTTGGATGCACCAGTTGAATACAGTTAAAAACTTATGGAAACTCTAAACTAGAGCTACACTGTATTCTTGTATTGTTGTGAAAAAAGGGACAACATTTATTTATATATTAATCTTTTTTGTAAATTTTTTTGTAAAAGCTTGCTATTAAGCAAGCCAATGGTCTACAAGCACTCCTACTACTACCAGGTCCAACATTTGCAGCAGCCCACACACTGCAAAACCTGTTTCCTTGTTGGTACTTTAACCATCCGCCTCTGAGTTTGGATAGTAACCATTTTCATTTGTCAATTATTTATGACCCTTTTTAGCTACTTCAAAAGCTTGGTTATGCATTATAAAAAAAAAAAAAAAAAAAAATAGTGAATATCTGGATTATCAAAATTATAATTTTGAAGTTTTTCTTTTGAGATTGTTGTTTTAGTCATTTTCAATGTTTTTGAAATTAGAACTATAATTTTCAATAAATTTTATTGACTTTAATAAAAATTTCAGCTTGCATCGTTATAAAATGTATGTGAGTTAACGGAAGGTTTTCAAAGTTTTTTTTTTTTTTTTTTTAGGAAAACTATGACATTTAGGGATTAAAACATTTTTTTTTTAATCTGAAGAATAAAATCCAGATCAACCATTCACCTTCAAAAGTGCAGTGAGATACAATCATGCTTTTATATAAGAGCAGTGTAAGAAGCCAAAAGTTGAAAGAACACTGGCAGTGAAATGACACTGATATAGAACTGACATTAATAATCTTGACTGGTGCTCTACAGGAAGGGTCACACGATAATCTACCTGCCAGAGAGACGAAAGTGTCATAATGAGAGAAGAACGACTCTGAATCAGGGCAACCACGGAGACTGTTAGTTTAGTTAAGGAAAACCTTATTAAACAAAGGACAGAAAATGGAGTCTGGCAGGATCTTCCTGGTACAGCCTAGGGAAAAGATTGGGTGATGGTGAACAACTGATCTGAGGAGGTGGGAAGGTGGAGGATGCTGAACTCACGGGGCTTAAGGTTGTTTTGAGCTTGGAAGGATTGTGTCCTGGGTCCAGGAGCAAACTGAGACTCTACCCTTCAGGTGATGGTTTATAGGAGGGTGGACAGGCAGGTGGGCTCCTGGAGGAGGGCTGCGACAAACTGGCTTGGTTGGTTGCTAGGAGGGAAAAAACAGAGACATGGGATTAGATCTGGCTTAAATAGAAATCTAGGAGTAAGCTAGGCGGTCATATACCACGCTGGTAGCGAGAAAGAACCGACGCCCTCCTCCTGGTCCCAGCTCCTTAAGTTGGCTCCAAAATTAACAGAGATGAGCTGCACCTGCCCATCAAACCCTGCAGAGAAGAGAGAGAGAGACAGACACCAGACCTGCAGTATAAAAGAAAGAATTTTTGATGGTAATCAGTGGCGGCTGGTGAAAAATATTTTTGGTGGGGCTGATATAGCCTAGTGTATGTCTCCAACTAATCCGGAATAAGAATTCAAATAAACTGTTGTTTTGCTTATAGGTACACAGTCTAGAGAGTAAAACTGACATTTATGAGTTAATTTCTAAAACTATATTTTACGTTTCTCTCTTCTTATCAGGGAGGGCGGTGCCCCAGCGCCCCCTATGGGCCGGCTGCCACTGATGGTAATGCTAAAGGGTGCTTTTTTAGACTCAGTGAAGGTGGTGGGAAAGAGATGGAGTTTGGTTAAAACACTTATTACCAGCCTGCTGCATTTTAATAGCACCAAAGAACAGTATGACAGATCCTTCCTCCCAACTGCTAGACTTTTAAACTTTATTGCTCCATTGAAATTATATCCCAGTTCTTTTTGCAACAATGCAAATAGTCCATAGTATTTTTTTTTTCTTTTTTGGAAGTAAATATACACTGTTTGTATATTTCATTTTTAAAAACACCCTTTTCACTGAGATATCTTTAAACTGGATAATTAATCAAGTTTGATAAATGTTCAGTATTTGTATTATTTCCTTATAATTATTTTGTAATTGCTGGATTTGGCACAATTCTTCTTGATGTTATTTAGCTAATGAATTTTCCTACTGTGGCATGATATTTCTATTTTATTCTGTTCTTTTGTAACTGTATACAAACAACAGTGCAACAATATTTTTAGCAGTCTAGACAGTCCAACACAGGCAAACACACAACCTCATACCTGTCATAATTGGTACTGAGTAAGCCCAATATGCAGAACACAAACGGAAGCTGATGAAAAGTTTAACAAGGTTTATTGATACACAAGCACATGAATCTTTCAACTGGAACTGGTTCTGGCCTGGGGGCAGGTTCACTGGAGTCTTGAGGGAGTCCGGGTTTCTCTTTGAGAGAGGTTACTGTCAGATCCAGAGACTGTTTGTTCAGCAGAGTCCAATAACTGCTTCAGTGTCTTACTTCTGACTATGAGGGCAGATCTTGATTTGGGTTTCCAGCTCTTTACCAAGAGCTGCGGGGGAATCCAGAGAAGAGTCTTCAGGTTTGGCTCACGAGGGTAGGCTCGGCAGGTTAAGCTCATCCAGAGCTTCACGAAGAGACAGGATTCCTGTGAGGCAAAAACAAGGAAGAGTTAGAATCTTATCTCAACCAGAGATAGCAAAGATTCTCAGGTTTACTAGGCTCAGGCGCTAACCAAACTAGATCAACACTGCGGCGTTGAGGCAAGGTCTGAAGGCAGGTTATATAGTGGTGGATCCTATGATGATGAGATGGGCCACAGGTGTGTTGGGAGCTCAGCTCAGGAGGACCCACGGCGAACTCTGCTGGAGGAAGGTGGTACAGCTCCAGATCCCAACAATACCTAGGGTGACCAGGTTCCAAAAAACACATATGAGACAAAGAGTGTGTTTTTGAGATGCCATGTGGGACATGGTCTAAATTTGTGTGTAAAATTAGACAGAAATCAATGCGGGACAATTGATCACACTACTCATAACTGGTTTTGGACTTTGGGAATAAGCTGTTCTAGAACTATTAGGTTAGAGCCTATGCATTCAAGGGGACAACATGCAAAATCCATGCCTAAAAGACCCAGTGCAGGCAGTACAATAATTTGTGCACCATGTGCGGATTAGAACTACTGCGATTGCGCAGACACAACAGGAGAAAGCGGGGTGTGGGGAGGTTGCTAGTGAAACCTGTTCAACCAGATTGGTTTAGTCCAATAAGTTTCTCTGGGTTACTCTCTGGCAGTCACCAAGTTACCGCCCAAACTTTGCATCCTGTGAAAGGGCAGAGGTTCAATCCTCGAGTAAAAAATGAAAATATAGGCCTAATTTTACAGCATAATATACTAAAGTATATCCACGTCTAGTGAAGGTGAAGAACAGTTGCGGAACTAGACCAAATGTACCAGGGGGGCCAGGAGAGGGCCAGTGTGTTTTAATGGGGGCACAGAAAAGCACGAAATAAAAAACAGGGCAAGAGATTCAAATATATTAAGAGAGCTGCATGAAAAGACCTTTCTATTCAATTAGGTTCAATAAAAATTATATTTCTTATGAGGTCAATGTACATTTATAATTTAGAAATTTTCTATAGAATTTGAATTAGAATTGGGGGGGGGGGGGGGGGTATGAAAATATATTTTCGAATATAGGACGAACCCTTGGGGTACACAACAACAGATAGGGGCTGAAGACGTTAAACTTTATTTAGGAAACTAGAAAAGGTTTTGAATTTTAAACATTATTACTATAATAAAAACCACAAACAAAGCAAGCAAGTAAGTAAAGTCAGTAAAAAAAATTGTTTAACAAATCTGTGCAAATTTTTTAGAATAAATAAAGATGAAACACCATAGCAACTGCATTCGATAACCTCATTTTCACTAAAATAGTCATGCCTATAACTGTGACTACTTTTGCTATTCTTATTCTTTTGTCTTTTGTGTGAAGTCAGACCATCTAATAAAAAAGCGCACAAACATCTGCGCACGCGCAAACGCACTTACTCCGGAGTCCTGGTTCCATCTTCAGCCATCTCTTCGTTCTGTCTCTATCATCTCTCCCTCTCCTCTCTACACGGGAAGAACAGATGGGAGGAGACGCTTCTCCTGATAGTGTTTTTTCCTGCAGCGGAGAAAACGCCTCTGCTGCCTGCGGGTCACGGGTCCGATCACTCACATCCCTCACGCTGCAGGTTTCTTTCGTTGGGGTGTGCCCGCACCTTTTTTTCTTTTTTCCTTACATGGATCGAGGACATTTCGTTACTAACTGGAGGTGCGACCTTTGTGTAAATCTCAGCTGGATTTTAACCTTCCCGATTGGCCCCTAAAATGAGAGTACGGACAGATGCGCTCCTTTCATCCTTTCTCTGGCCGCTGATGCACTAAAGATGCGGCTGGTCGTGCGGGTACCTGTACAGTTTTTGCACCGGTAGACTGATCCATTTTCGATGCTGCAGAATCCAAAGGGACTAATAAAGAGATTTACCTAAGAAGCGAATTCACCACAGACATCCTTCCAGATGGATAACTACTCTGCTCTACCGCGTAAGGCACCTCAGAGTAACCGAAACCTGCTGCAGTGTTTCTCATTCATTCTGTGTTAACGCTGGGAATCCCTGTATGGATTATCTGATTAGTATGAAAGATTAAGATGCTCAAAGTGTCGCTCATTATTATCATTTCCCCACGTTGCATCAAGATTAATAGTTGTCATAGTTTTTATACCACAGGGTTGAATAATTGAAACAATATTTCAAACCATTAGAAAGTAACAAAAGGAAATAGGAAATATTACCATAGGAAATTACCTTAAGATACACACACAAACACACCCACACAAATATATGTATGCGTATATATATATATATATATATATATATATATATATATATATATATATATATATATATATATATATATATATATATATATATATATTATTTTTTTTTGACTTGCAAGCTCTGTGATGACTTCATAAAATCAGCATACCTGCAGGGAAAACTAGGTTGTTTATGTGTGTGTGTGTGTCTTGTAAGGATGATGTATGATGCAGTGTCATATACTTTGCTGTCTTGACAAGTAACTGGTCTTCTGTCATGGTGTCATGCTTTTAAGCATTCTCTCTCTCTCTCTCTCTCTCTCTCTAACTCCCCCACCCCTCAGACACACACACACACACCTGTTATAATCCTCTACCCTGAGGAAGTGCAGCTTATTATCCTATCTAGCACATATTTCTGCCATACCAATCTGTCACGCTTGTTAGAAGCTTGTAATGGCAGTGGGTTATTGTATACCATCTGGCTAAATGGTTTATTACCTTTTTAATTTTCTGAACCTTATCTTTTATGTTTCAGTTTATGATAAGATTTGGTCCTAAGTCCTCTCCCTGTACACATGGCACTGACACAAAATGCATATTCAACTAGCCCCCCTTTACTCAAAGAGAATATTTCATTCTAATCTTCATTGCAGCATATTCAAACCACATCTTTCTGTGCTGCTCGTGAGATGACTCTTTTAATCTGCTTTCTCTCAGCAGGGCTGTGCAGTCTCCACTAATTTCATTAGTGTTTTTATGATTTGCAAACACTTGAGCAAGAGATGTCCTATTTGTCTTCTTTGGTCATATAATCCAAGCAGCTGAGGTTGCTTCTGCATCTAATCATTCACACACACACACACACGCATTTGGCGATTTAGTGTTTCTGCTGTCTATTTCTGTTTGTATATGGCTTTATGTTTTTTTTTTTTAGAACATGATGTTCTCTTAAGGGATTGAACCTGTATATTATTGTGGTATGTGCCAGTGGCGGCTGGTGAAAAATATTTTTGGTGGGGCTTATATAGCCTAGTGTATGTCTCCAACTAATCCGGAATAAGAATTCAAATAAACAATTGGACAATACATACAATTTAACAGTAATGATTTAATTTACTATATAATAACTAACAGTGATGATCTGGATCACTGTGACGGGGTTCTTTGGCCTCCAAGAATCCAGGCTCAGTCGGGTTACCGGTGTTGGTGATTTATTGAGCTCAAAAACTCAAAACAGGGTGCAAAAGAAACTAAACATATACAAGATACTCTGGGCCTCAGCCTCCCTCCAGTTACCAGCAATGTAACAAAGAAACAGAAAACAAAAATTGCTGCTTTTCTTCCCACAGCCCTCATTAAACAGTTTAAGCCCCTCACATCAGGCTCTCTTATTTCTGATTTCTTCTCATGAATCAGTTTTGTCCATATATTACCTCCACAAACAATTGATGTACAAAAACAAATAATTTTTACAACTTAATTCTTTTACACAGATTCATTGACTTATTCAATTACACCAAACTGGGTTTGAACCCAGCAAAGACGCAGCCAGACTGAAGATGACAAGTCCCCATAGCATGAACATGTACACACCCACACCCCCCACACACCCACACACACACACACACACACACACACACACACACACACACACACACACCACACACACACACACGGCTAACCCCACTGAAATATTAAGTGTGCACCCTCAATACGCCAGCAGGTAACCAGGACAGCTTGTGTGTTTTAAGTTCATGGAGCTACTTGGCTCAGCGAGAGTGTATTGGTCCTCACAAGCACAGTATAACAGGAATGTGTGTGTGGCGCGCAAAGTTAGAGAGGTTGTTTTAAGCGACGAGGTGGATTCGTCACAGTCACAATAACCATGACATGAAATGTTCATATCCTACACAGGGATGTTCTTCTGGCAAACGGGTAGATAAATAAGGATCTCACCGAATTTGGTGGAAGCTGCATCTCGGTCGTTACATTCGCCATCTTCCCTCTAATTGTCTGCACCTGCGCTTGGGTTCAGAAGCCTGTTAAAGCGCAGTATTTTCAGCGCCCCAAGACCATAAAGTTCCGAGACGCTGATTGGCCATTAAATTCACCTAGCAATAATACATGATTGACAGATTCTCTGCAAATGTGGGGCTGTCTGATCAGCGCCCCCAGAACAGAGACGGTAGGAGTCTGTCTGTGGAAATCCACAAATTAATGACAGTAGATAGGGAAATGTAGTTTATATAATTTGTTTTGCTTATAGGTACACAGTCTAGAGAGTAAAACTGACATTTATGAGTTAATTTCTGAAACTATATTTTACGTTTGTCTCTTCTTATCAGGGGGGGCGGTGCCCCAGCGCCCCCTATGGGCCGGCCGCCACTGGTATGTGCCATCTTTATTTGTTTTTAAAAGGGTTGTTTTTAAGTATTGGTTTTGTTTAATAAGGTATTTTACAGATATTGTGAAAAAAAGGTATATAAAAACTTAGCAGTCCTTCTTAATCTTTAAGTATCTCATAAAATAAATGTATCTGTGTGATTTAGGTTAATTTACATTTCCTTCTTACACAATATCCTTGGCTAGAGATTTCTAACGATAACACCACCTTTGGCCAAAACACAGAACTGCTTGTTCTTGTAGCTCACGCTCGTACTTGACAAGGTTTTTACATTTGTACTTTTTACCTGGAGTTGCAATTGGTGTCTGAGTTGAGTTGGATGTTGGTCGCTTCTGAGTATCAACAAAATACATCTTAATTAAAACCTTTCAATTATTTGCAAGGTTGGAGCCATTTAATATAGACGCGCTTAATGTCCCATCTGTAGAACAGCGTGGGATCTTCTTTGCCAAAGTAAATTTGGGAAAATAGGATCTAGATGCTTCGCCGCTGATTTACTGAGGGGTGAGCCTGCTCATCAAACCATGTTTTAGTCTTAAACGGTGAAATAAAAAGACAATTTAAAAAATATTTTTCAGTAGAATTTAGCAAAATATCTCTTTAAAATAGTGTACTGTTTGTGTTGATTACAGGCATAGAGTCTTTTACTAATGAAGCCCTTACAAAAGTAAATATCAAACGATCTACTTTACTTCTTATACACTGTGAACTTACAGTGTCAGATTGAAATAATTTATGCAAACAAATTTGGTATAAATTTTTACAGTTTTACAGTATCAGTTAGCTGAATTACAAAAAATTATGGAAACATTAAAGTGCAGAAATTTTGTAGGTAGATTCAAAGTCTATGTTTTGGTTATGAAGCCATTACTGAATTCCTTTAGAATTCAAGAGCTACTCACTCCACTAAAGGGAATACTACTGTACTATAGAGTAAACCTGTTTAGACTATGAAGGTGATTCAACTTAATGGTGAAAGGTTTGATGGCTGTTCAGCATCCAGCCATAGCAAGCTAACAGATACCACAGTGGCCTGAAGATGGTGCAAATGGATGACAAGTTCATTTAATTCCATAAATGCTGTAAAAGGAGTAAAAGGGCAGTTGCACAAGACAACTACCTAACAAACTCCTATAAAACCCTGTCAAGCAGTCTTGACGGTTCTACAAGACTGTCAGACCCTCCTGCAATAGCCTTTCCCGCCCTGCTCATCTCATAATGCCACTTCTAATGTCCTGTAATGTCATTCTAGATGTGCCATCTGATTGCAAATTAAATTAGTTCTATTCACATCTCTGATCTACATGTCTATCATATTGTCCACAAAACAGGCCATTCCTGGCATTCGCTGAACTGGGTTTTGTCAGTAAGTACTAGAAACGGTGATGGAATAGGAAAATTTTGCCATATAATATGGACTTTATTAGAATGAGAATTAGCAAAATTTTATTTTTCATTGTGGCCAAAGACTTATTACTGCAACTGCGACTTATTACTACTACTGATGTCTTTGTATAACAGTCACTGTAGTTATTAAAAATACATTCTACCAGTTTTGCATTCTTATATTCCCATTGTAGATATTTAATTTTACAGATCCTTTTTCCTAATATAGTTTAACAAAACTATTTCCTATCATTAGGTAAATATTGCTTAAGTTCATTTTACGTGTCAGAGGTCATAATTTTATGTTGCAGCCGTGCAGCTGTCCTTTTTTGTATATGTTATTTAATATTTAAGACTCAATCTTGCTCTTTTTCTTGAATATTCATGATAGTGACCTCCAATGTAGTAGTAGAGATATTGCTAAACAACAACCTAGCTTAGCAACTTGGTCTTTTTGGCTTTTTAATACTGTTCAAATCAAACTTGTTTTTCTGTTTAATGTGTGAAATCATGTTGTAACTTAACAAAACCTATTAGCCAAAGCCTGAAAACCCGCCACATGCTTCTAACTTACTTATGTTATTTTTTATAAAAATAATTTTGTGCTTGTTTTGACTCCTTTCAGACTTTAAATGCTGCTGTCAGTCATTGTGACTAGAAAGCATTTATTACACCTGCCTTGGTAGAAACTGAGTTTGTATCTTTTATCCTGAATGTTTATGAAAATGAAACACTGTTCAGATTTGAACGGCGCTTCCCTCGTGTTGAATAACAGTGCTTCGTTCCATGTCTGGAGGTGTAGTCCTTTAAGTAGAAAGTTTAAGCTTTAAAGCTACAGTGTGTAATAATTACAGGGATATACAGTCAGAAATGTAATATATTACACATAACTATGTTATTTATCATCATCTACGAGCTCAGCCTCTTAACCTT